CTTCATCCAGCACGAGAGAGAGATCTCTATGTCTGTTCCTTCAGCAGAACGTTTACAAAATGTAGTCTTTTTTTTATAATTCAAAATTAACTTAACATTATAATTTATTAGTACTTTATAATACTTTTAATTTATATCCTATTATTCCTTAATTGTATTTGATTAAATAAGAAAGAAACTTCCTCAGCAATATTATTGGTATTTATAAAAGTAGCCGACAGACGGTGCTTTAATAATTTACGTACCGATTGCAATAACATTCACTGGTAACATAAAACTCTGATCCGCATATAAAACATAAAATAAAGCAACTTTATATGTAGTAACACGATCTGTATCAATATATACAGTGTGACTGGCATGTAAAAAGGTGTGCTAAATAAGATCAATATGAACATTTTGAGCGTGCGTAACTGAAGGAGATAAATAACTAATAATTTTAAAGTATTTTGTCTTTTTTGGGGGGGGGCTGATAACTTCAAACTGTTTTTATAATCATTACATAGTACGAAAGCAAAACATAATTCCAATTTTAAGCTATGATTATTTCGAAAAAAGAAGACACAAAAGTTTAAAGCTTCATAATTTTTACTTCATAAATTAAGTGTTAACTACAAGAGCCGGGCATGTCCTAGTACCTAGCGTGCCAAGACTGGGAGTCCGAGCATTTCAGCTTTGCGCGAAAATTCTAGTAAAGCTGATAATTATCCAGAAATTCTTGAGTTGAAGCACTTTCGAAGAAGGGAATGTTTTTTACATGTTCATGTTATTATATGTTTTGTACAATTATCCACAAAATTAACAACAAACTTGATTCGTAATATTGTTAACGAAGAAGAAGGGAATGTTTTTTACATGTTCATGTTATTATATGTTTTGTACAATTATCCACAAAATTAACAACAAACTTGATTCGTTATATTGTTCAATGAAAGTATTGTTGAAATATGCTGGGTATATTTGTGTTGTTGTTTTTCCTCTAATTACATTGTTCGCCAAAACTATATCATAGTATTACGTTAATTAAAGTATTCTTGAAATATTCAGGTTATATTTTTGTTGTTATTTGCACTTTTTACTTTAATTACACTGTTCATCAAAACATTATTAAGCTCTTTTCTTTTCAATTGTTTGTTTGCTCACCCGAATAACACGTTATACACACAATGGTCAGAAACCCAAGTTTCGGGCGTAGCCATCCCTAATTTTGAGAACCAGTTTGCAGAACCCTCCTCCTGAAGCAATTACTCTTAACCGAATATTGTTATAGAGTTGTGTTATAACGCAATCACAGCTGAAAATGCGAGGACTGTTTGGTGGCACCATGTCTCTGTTTGGTAGCACCGTGTCTTTATTTGATAGCGCCATGTCTCTGTTTGATAGCGCCATGTCTCTGTTTGATAGCACCATGTCTTTGTTTGATAGCACCATG